GCTCTAAAATCTTCAGTGTATTCTTTACTATCACATTATTCACCAAAAGATAGCTTTAAGATGTTCTAAACTTCCAGTTAACAGATGAACCATTTTCTGCCACTACTGGCCTGCCTATTTAAAAAATTAAGAGGGACCCTCCGAGGGGGAGGAATGCTTTCAAATGGTGTGGTCAGGTCCGCTATGGACAAAGGAGAACAATCCCACCTATTTCCCCTCAAGTTCAGCCTTCTTCCCAGTTTCCAGAACCAAAGCTCAGTGAATCAAAGGTGGTATCTTCCTGGGAGCCACTCTTTCCTGCCATGGCTCCGCTAAGCAGGTCTGCTATTTCCATCTGATGGCCAGTGCCCCACACTAAGCCCAAGAGGTCCTTCACTGAACGCAACATTCACTGTCGTCTTGTTAAAGGAATCATGTTGCTCTAACTTATGTAACACAGACAGGTTGTGTATGTATATACAACATACATAATTTACACATGGCTATTTAAGACGCAGTATTTTGAAGCTCATGATAGTCATCCCCTTCTTTGAACTAATAACATGGATTAACTTGGTATTTATATTTCAGTAGGTACCCAGAAGGGTGATGAAGACGCTCGAAATCCATGAAAATCTACTTGAATGTACAAGCTCAGCTTGGACACTTAATCATTTAATAGCAGCAGCAGCAATAGCAGGTGTAATCAGCTAATATGTGGCAAGAGGTATTATGTGCCAAACACTGTTCAAAAATTAAGATTTATTAACTCCTATGTCTTCACAACAACCCTATGACATGGGGACCATTATTAGCCCCACTTTATAGATGAAGAAAAGAGGCACCAAGAGGATGCACATATACGCCAGTGCACAACAGAACACGTACACAACAGCACATAACAGAATGCATATACACCAGCATGCAATAGAACACGTACACGCCAGCGGGCAACAGAACACGTACACACCAGTGCACAACAGAACACATACACACCAGTGTGCAATAGAACACATACACAACAGCACGTAAAAGAATACACCAGCGTGCAATAGAACACGTACACGCCAGCGGGCAACAGAACACGTACACGCCAGCGGGCAACAGAACACGTACACACCAGTGTGCAATAGAACACATACACACCAGTGTGCGTTAGAACACATACACACCAGTGTGCGTTAGAACACATACAAGCCAGTGTGCATTAGAACACATACATACCAGTGTGCAATAAAACACATATATGCCAGCAGGCAATAGAACACATACACGCCAGTGTGCAATAGAACACGTACACACCAGTGTGCAATAGAACATGTACACACCAGTGCGCAACAGAATGCATATACACCAGTGTGCAATAGAACACATACACACCAGTGTGCAATAGAACATGTACACACCAGTGCGCAACA